GCCTGGTACCAAAGGACACACAGACCAGTACCAAAGAACACACTGGCTGGTACCAAACGACACATGGACCAATGGACACACTGACCAGTACCAAACGACTCATGGACCAAAGGACCCATGGCCCGATACCAAAGGACACACTGACTGGTACCAAAGCACACTTGGACCAAAGGATGCACGGACCAGTTCTAAAGGACAGACGGACTGCTATCAGGCCTAGGATCACTGTGCTGGACTTTTTTATCAGCAGTTCTGTTTAACTGCTAATAATTAGCTTGATCCAGACTGACAGCTGCTTAGCTCAGTTGGTAGATCCTGATATCAGCATCCAGATGATACGACACATTTAACCAGGTTTTAGGAGGCTCCCAAAGTGGGTAAAGATGAAATGACAATAGGAAGGTGCCAAACCTGAGCCCTGAGGTATCCCATAAGGCAGTGGGGCTCTGTCAGAATATAACAGTCAGAGACCTCTCTGATAAACAAGAAGGGAACCAAACGAAGACGACAAACAGGTGTCAGATGTCCAATAAAGGCCGTCTGAGATGAAGGTCTACAGTCACCTATAGTGAGGATCTACAACCAGCCATTCAGTTGTTCTGCTTCATTATTAAAAATCTCTTATAGAAATGGATTCTAGATGGAAGAGAAGAATCTAACATGATGGGCAGTAGGTGCAGATGTCTTAATGAAAACAGACCCTGGTATGACATCAGAAGACCCTCCATTGCTCCTTAGCAGGAGCAGCTCTTGCTAACAGCGGTCCTCCAGGTGCTGGCTAAGCTCCTAAGCTTCTCCAAACATGAGGACCATCTGAGGAGAAGCTGAGAAGCTGCAGCATCCTCTGGGCTGGAGCTTTATAATGCAGCAGTCATCTACAGACTTCTGTTTGTATCATGAAATAAACACACCTTTTCACGCTGTGTTACCGTGGAAACAGCAGAAAGCTCATCTAAGGCTGGTTGGTTTTTTGGCCTTTTCTCACGAATGGGTGGCGTTTGCCCTCTGTCTAAAACAGCCGCCCTGATGGCGGCGTGACACTGGGCTTTTCTCACAGGGTGATCCCAAGCAAAAGGCGGCACCTTTTTCCATGGAAACATAAGCTGATGGCGTGGAACTGAACACTGCTTCCAGAGATATCAGCAACGCTGGGAGCTGCTGCAGGAGAAGACGTTTCTATGTAGATTAGGCCTTCTACAGTTTACTAACAATTAGCTCAATCCTAGAATTTCTATCCTAGAATGGCAGTGCACCGGGTCTCCTCGTGTGATTTTTTTTTTCTTTTCATTGAAATGGGGAGATGTGTCCCCTTTGGTTAAAGCACTGGCATCCTGGGAAGGCTGCAGGAGAGACTAGGCCGTTTAGGTTATAGAACCAGGAAGTAAAGAGACAGACAGACTAGAATCTGGTCATTTCTACAGCAGGAGGGAATTATAATCCTGCAGCCCTTTATGTGATAGAGGTCCTTTGAAGACAAGCACACAGACACACACACATAAAATAGATCTGCATTCAACAGAGCAACTAGATCAACACAGTAGAAATCACTGAACATGGACATGAAGCACCACCGTGTTAGCCCCCATGTTAGCTACTGTGTTAGCCACCTTGTTAGCCACAATGTTAGCCACCTTCTTTGCCCCCATGTTAGCCACCTTGTTAGCCAAAATGTTAGCCACCTTGTTAGCCACCATGTCAGCCCCCATGTTGGCCATTATGTTAGCCCCCATGTTAGCCACCATGTCAGCCCCCATGTTAGCCACCTTGTTAGCCCCCATGTTAGCCACCATGTCAGCCCCCATGTTAGCCACTGTGTATGCCACCATGTTAGCCACTATGTTAGCGACCATTTGAGCCACCGTGTTAGCCACCGTGTTAGCGACTATTTGAGCCACCATTTTAGCCACCGTGTGAGCCACCATGTCAGCCCCCTTGTTAGCCACCACATCAGCCCCCATGTTAGCCACCATCTCAGCTCCCATGTTAGCCCCCATGTTAGCCACCACGTCAGCCCCCGTGTCAGCTCAGATGTTAGCCACCGTCTCAGCCCCCATGTTATCCACCGTGTTAGCCACCGTGTGAGCAACCATGTTAGCCACAGTGTTAGCGACCATTTTAGCCACCGCGTGAGCCACCGTCACATGAAAAGGTAACGACACAGTACTTCGTTTCTCCTTTACTGTAAATAGATTTAACTGCTAGTTCAAATAATTATTTAGTATTTTCCCTGACTCCAAATACAAACCTTCTTCCTAATTTGGTTAAAAACTTATCAATTCAAAACAAAATAATGAAGAACCAACTTTATCTGGAGGCTTTACAGAAGTTCAGTCTTAGTTGGCTTAACATTATTTTAAGGCTCTGGAAAAGGTCCAGAAGTCGGTAAATGATTTAAACACGAGATAAGCTGTTTATCAGACAGAGCTGCAGTTATTATCATCTGTAGCTTAACCATAGTGAAACCTAAGAGCTGCAGAGGTCTAAAATTCAAACCCCTCACCCCTAACCCTTAACCCCTAGCCCTATACCCCTCACCCCCTAACCCCTTACCTCTCAGCCCTTAACCCCTCACACTCACCCCTAACCCCTCAATGACTACAGAGTGATTTTTCACTAAGCAAATTATCTGCATCCACACAAAAAGCTGATGGTCTTATGATTTATCTGAAAACCTGAAGAAAGACATATTTAGTTTGATTTAATAGAGGGGGGTGGGGGTTCACTCCCCTCACCCAGGTGCAGAGCATCATTAGCAGCTGGATGCTGCACAGCTTCTGGAAGAGACGGGAAGAGACACCTGAGCAGCACCTTTATCAGATCATCATACAGCAGCAGCAGCAGGAGCTCCTTCCCCTCAGACATCACCGCAAACTAAATATGATGTTTCATAACATTTTGGGATGAATAAAAACATGTGGATAGAAACTATACTGAACTACGACCACTTCTTTAGTCACATGTTCCTATGACTGATCATTTGCAGCAGCACTGTTCTGCATTTTTAGAATAAATGATAGTTTTCTATTTTCTAAAACTTCAAGCTGCTGCTTGTTGCTGCTGTTCAGTTTCTAACGTCTGTAATGCACGCTCGGTCTGTACAGGTGGGGAACTCAGGGAGACTTCAGCACCCCCCATCCGCTGCCTCAGGTCAAAGTCAAGCTGTTCACAGAGAGCACCGGAGTCCTGGCTCTGGAGGACAAGGAGCTGGGCAGGGTGAGGCAGAGAGAGAGGAGTCAGAGAGAGAGAGCAGAGACATGTTTTAAGTTTCCATGTCTCCTCCAGGTGGTCCTGAACCCCACCACTGGCGGCCCAAAGCAGGCAGACTTCCACAGGATGGCGGTCCCTAAGAACAGCCAGGATGCAGATCTGAGGATCAAGCTGGCGGTCCGCATGGACAAACCCCCCAACATGAAGCACAGCGGGTGAGTCTGCTCTGGGATGTTCCTGAATGATGTCACTCTGATGAAACATTCCAGGAGGTTCAGATGACTGTTGGTCAGATCGGACTTTAAAGCTGAACGGGTCCGGTTCCTCTTCTTTGGCAGGAATCAGCGCTGATGTTGTCTCCTCTTGTTTCCATGGTGATCACTTTCTCTGCTCACATCCTCTCTCCATATTCAGATGATGGATGGATCAGATAGAATAACCAGAACCTCCTCAGCCTCCATTATTTTGGTTGCAGAAACTTGTCTAACTTATTAAATCCAAAAACGCCCTTAAAGTTTAGAGTTGTTTCCAAAGTTTTGAAACTTTTCCAACGTGCCTCCTGAATCGGGGTGTTTCTGTTTAGCATGCCAGTAGCGCCACCTGCTGGTAGAGGAAGTCTGTTGAGGATCTAAAGGCCTCACAGGAAACAGCTTAAAGCTGTTATCTTCCTCTGAGTTCTGATAAAAACAGAACATAAAAACTCAACTTTATTTACTGAATTTCTATTTAACTAAAAAAAAAAAAAGGTTTAAATCCACACTGAAATAATAACCGACTGATTGATGCTGCATTAGATGAATGTTCGGTTCTTCTGCTGCCTTTAAATCCAGTGTTTAGTTCCACTGAGCTGACTGTGCAGTGGCTGACTGTAACCACCAGGTGGCAGCAGATCTAACTGATGGACCTGATTCAGCTCTGGGTGAAAATCCTATAAATCCTTTAACTGTGCAGAAGCTTCTGTTAGCCTCCAGTTTTTTCCACTCAGGTGCAGCTAATCTGAGCAGGAGGCTGCGTTCCTCCAGGTCAAAGTCCGACTCTCTTTCTTATTGTTTGCTGTTTGCTTACATCTCTGCTCCCATTGGACAGAAGTTAGCAGGAGGAAAGTCAAACATGAGGGAATAAAAACAACTAAAGCAAAAGCACCTGATCCAAAAAAAAAACAAAAAACAACAACTTTGTGGAAAATATATTTGTCCTTAATTCAAGAAGGTAAATAGATCTTAGATGTTGAGATATTATGGATTAGATAGTTTTATTTACCTGCTTGTTAAAGCCAAGAGAAACTCCACTGGTTCATTAATTCTTCTTATATTAACATTTTGCTGTGATGGAGAATGACAATCATTAAAGCTCAAAGAGAGGAAATGTGCTTTCAAACAGGAAGTGGTTGAACCAGCCAGATGTTTGCTGTTGTTCCAGCTGTGGAGTTTATTCACCGGCAGCGGCGTTGCTAAGAGACAGACGGAGGATTAACTTGGAACCTTTGCCATCACTGCTGTTGTTGGGACTTTAGAAGCCGTGAAAGCTGCTCGCCCGCGGGTCTGTTCTACCAGAACTAACCTGTCCAGGTGTTTGGACCCAATGGGGAACCGTTTGAAGAGGTCCAGGGTTCCCTAAAGTACCGGTCCTTTCAGGAACAGATTCACTGTCCAGGTGTCTCTGAAGGAAGAGGAAGATTATTTCCCCATTAAACCAGGAGGCCCAGTGGAGGAGAGACATGGGATGGAGGGGACACAGATGGAGGGGACACAGATGGAGGAGACACCAGCAGTTAACCAAACCCAGTTGTTTGAAAGGTGGAGCTTCAGGGGAGTTATAGCAAAGAAAACTAAACCTGGTCTGATTATTGAGCCACAATTCACAGGAAGCCAGACTGAATCTTGACCTACGGAGGAACAACCATCTCTGAGGGAACCATAAAGACCTCTGAGGGAACGGTGTGACCTCAGCATCATTTATTGCTCTAATATTCTCACTGATGATGACCTGGGGTTCTCCCTGTCCCTGCATGGAAGGAATTAGCTTCACTTCCTGAATTAAAGAAGACGGACCATTGGAGACCAGGATGGGTCTCTGCTTTGGTTCCTGGCAGGGCCTCCTTCATGCACCTGGATGCTGCTGCACACAGAGAGAGATTAAAGGAAAATTCCGG